AACAGGGTAGTCAGACTCGTTATTTCTCACCCTCATATTAATACAGGAACACACACACACACAGCGGACCAACCGCGGTTCTTGTGTGTGTTTGTGTGGTGTGGTGTGTGTGTGTGTTGTGTAGTGTGTGTGTGTGGGTGTGTGTGTGTGTGGGTTTGTGTTTGTGTGTGTGTGTGTGTGTGTGTGTGTTGGTGTGTGTGGTGTGTGTTTGTTTTTGTGGTGTTGTTGTGTGTGTTGTGTGATCTCCCTTTCCAATGGACACGAACGAACGAGCGGTCAACAGAAGACCACGCTAGACTTCTTCTCTCATAATACTAACCGTTTTTCACCAAAGACCGTCATAAAATGTAATTAAGGTTGGTAAAAGGTGTTGAATGGGTACGGTGGGTTTGTCAAGTGTTATTTTTGTTCCGAGACGATAAAGTTCTATGTCGACAACTGTTTTACTGTGTTTCCCTCACTTCGGAAAACATTTTAGTCTCAAGGATAATTATACCAATATCCCTATTTGAGTCTAACAAACTTAACCCCCACATATACTGCCATGATTAGGTACCAGTCAAACCATGGATGTCTCTATCGTAAACCTTTAAACCGTCTGTCCTTTATTGTTGTTCCCTCATAACAGTCAGGACGTTTCTTTTGTCCCCGTCGTCGGATTACATAAGTATCTGTACATTTTCCTTTCAGGGTGGTTTGTTTATGTAAATAAGTAAATTTAGCAAGGTGATTATCTTCTAAGTTCTACCGAATCCTACGTACTCCTGTCTATGTCTGCCGTGTGTACAGTTCCCTTCCAAGAAATTTAACTTCCGTATAAATGTAGGGTCGCACAGGCGATCGATTTACGATAAAAGTGGCCCACTGTGTAATCCATGACAAACTAATAATACATAAATACCTTAAAAGAACTGTGACATTAAAGGGAACGACGACGACCAGTAACATTAGGGGATATCACATACATATTTCGTGAGGTAAGTTAGAATTCGTGAACATGATAGTATGGGCCCACAAATGACATACGGGTAGAGCGAGAACGGGAAAGATGCTAAGGACATTCTAATGGACTGTTAGTCCTGTTTTTTTTTGTGAGACAATATACACTGTAAACCGACAATTCCATTATTTCTACCATGGGTGGGGGGGACTACTTTCCCAATTTAATTAGACGGTGTTGTCAAGTTCTTTTTTCAATATCTGCAAATCCATACATAAATTGTTTATGGTGTTTTGTCATTTGTACCGTGATTTTTTTATTTTACACCATTCATTGGAGACCGGGGTTAGTCAAAAATATATGGGGACTTCCGAGAAGTACACCAGGACGACCTGAACCGTCTAGACGCAGAAAAATCGGTCCCGAAGTCCGTAAGACGTTTAATGTGTTAATATATGTAATAATTATTATCGAACCTAAGATAATATCGCGGAAAGTTTCCGCTGGGTTCCAGCAAATGTTCATTTATCCCGTTTTTTTGTTTTTGTATTTGTTTTTGTTTTTAGAGTCTGTCCCGGTTTTTTGTTGTCTAGCTAAAACCCGGCTTTCGGAACCCGTTTTGTCTACCCTGAGCCTCGGAAACTTTCGCAGCTCACACCGCCTACAACGCCCTTTAAAAAGAGCGTCCTCTCGCAAGGTCTCCCACCCAACGTGTGACTTCCCGAGACAAAGGGCCCAAGCGTTCAAACCACGTCCACCATTCGTCCGGTCTCAGACTCCTTGGTGTTCCAAGGCCGACCCCGTACACCGCCACTTCCTACAGGCTATCCATGACCCCGTTCCCGTACCTCTGAAACAATCCACTCCTCCTCCTGAAACATCCTATACGCCTTGACTGGCCGTTGGTCACATCCACCTACTCCCACCCATCAACTAACACGACGGTTGCCGAAGACAAACACCTTCCCAATGGGATCGCGTGTCAAAACCTTGTTATGACCTCGGACAGGTCCAAAAACAACCCCTTGGGCTTTGTTTCCTGTTGGTAACCGTTTCATCAGGCTTTTCGTCCGACGACTGTTTTCTACGTGAAAAAATCCGCCAACAGCTCGTTGGCCTGAGGCTCTCACTGCCAGCTCAGACGCGGGTTACAAGGAATACCCCACCATTTTCCCGGCTTAATTTTTATTCGCCATTTTCCTTTAATGGTAAATAAATGTTACAGAGTCATCTCTAGTAAATGTTTACTGAACACAGGGTGGGAAAACCGTAACCAACCATCTTCCTGCAAATTCCACCACCAACAATCCAGAAAGGTTTCGGTTTTCTCTAATTTTCGGTTCCCCTTCCATTTGACAACTTTACATACAAATATATTGGGATGAAGTATTCGGGTTGTACAAAATTAACCGATTGATCGAATTCGATGAGTTTTTGGTTCGTCTACGTAGTATAGTCCTCCGTCCGTTTTTTGAACCCACAGGTTTGAGATCGTCCGTCCCAGTCTTGTAAGTAATTCAAATGAGATATGATAGTTATAAGATTGCACGTGATGGAATGACCTCCTGTCGATTAAAGACCTGATCTTAGACTTCGGTTTGAAGCCTTTATCCTTTTTGATATTAGTAATTTTACGTAAAAAAATCAACACGACTACGCGTTTTGTTCGACTGGAAGGACCCCAGATTTGCGAATGTATTTAGTGTATTGTGTTAGACTGTATGTTTATGTTAAAACGTACCTAACGTATGTATACCTTCTTCTATACGATCTATGATTAAGTGTATATGTAGATATAACATTTTCTTATCTTAATAATCTAAACCCGTACCGATAACTCTTATTATGGTATAGATACTTCACTTTGTGTTTATGAAATTTTGATCCGTGACCGAATTTTGAGGATGATCACAGAAGACATACGGCTTATGTCTCAAGTAGTATCTTGTCTGGTTTTATAAATGGGACCGCTTGACCCTTTCGACGGAAAAAGGGGTTTTACGTTTAGGTTCAGACTACGTCTACTTCACGGAACCAACGGCTTACCATAATAAATTAATCCGGGCGACCACACCCGCCGCAAGTTATAACGAACCCATTTCTCCCGCACACAAATACGGTGACGCTAATAAATGACCTGTACCTCCAATTGTAGAATTCCGGAAACGAGAGCAAACGAAGTAGTCTAATGTGAAGGCACGGTGGTGGTGGTGGTGGTGTCCGTCGACAGTTTAACGCGTAAGTTTTTTTTTTTTTTTTTTTTTTTTTTTTTTTTTAATAAGTAATATCTTTTCACGGTAAACGATCGTTCAACCTCGCCCTCACACACGTACGCACAAACACAATGAATTACCCCCTATCACACGACACACACGACACAACACACACGACACACCACCACACCACAACACACAACACCGACACGACACCACCACACACACACACACACACACACACACACACACACAC